TCATCTTCAAAAACCCCACTATCCAGGTATCAGAGTTTAGTATTATACATTTGGTTTTCGACATTGTCCTTGGTTATTTTGATCCTTTTTTATTCTATCATATAGTAGCTGCCAGTGCACATGTAGATGATCTGAGACATAGGGTTAACATCAGAAGTAGTTCTGGATATTGTTTTATTGAGGTCCCAGAAAATGTGCATTTTCCTCCCTTATGGCATAGCAAAGAGGCAAACCATGGCTTTGTCTCCATGAGAGTAAGTGTGGAATTTAAGCCCAAAGCCGGCTTTCCCCACATTATTTTCCTCATATTCTAGAAGTTAAGCATTCTGGGTTATGGATAATTATTGTTCTTGTCAGCAGTATTAAAGTCATTAATATGGTGTTGGTGAGTTGAAGAGGGAGGACATGCACTAACCTCCACAAAAGGAAAGGGGGAAGGGCATGTGTAGCTTACAAAGGCATATGTAATGAGTCTACCGTTCTTGTTGTCTAAACTACAGAAAGTGAAGCTCAGCAGTATCTTTTCTGGTCTAAGAGATGTGCTGAATATAGAAGGAGGGAGGCATCATGGGGTTTTGGGTTAAAACCGATTGAGAAGCAGTATTCTAGAATATGGGTCAGCAAATTTTTTTGCTAAAAATCGTGTAGTATATATTTTAGGCTTTGTGGCCTTTATGTCTTTGCAACTACTCAACCGTGCATTTATAGTTCAAAAGCAATCATTTAAACAGATGATCACAACTGTGTTCAGTAAAATTCGTTTATAGAATCAAGTGGTGGACTACATTTGGCCTAGTTTGCTGACATCTGCTCTAGAGCCTTGCTATTCAGTATGGTCATGGTAACAGCAGCATGGACATCATTTGAGAACTTGTTAGAAATACAGAACCCAGGCTCTACCCCCCATTAATTCAGTCAGAATCTTCATTTTAATAAGATGCCCGGGTGATTTGTATGCATTTTTAAGCACTAATTTATGCACTAATGACGTATTACTAGTACCTATGCCATTGTAGGATTAATGGAAAGGAGTTGCTATTAAGAATGTGTTTTCCTGGATATTCTTGAATGTCTTTGTTTGTATTTCTAGACCTGGCAGAAGACCCCTGGGATTTTTGTCTTTAATATGTTCAAAGAATAGTTTGGAGTCTGATGAACCTACTCAGGTTCATAGAAAGAAACGCCTAAAACCCCTTATACCTATATCAAGACAGAATTTGAAAAGATCCAATCCACTTAGTGAAAGCCAGAAAAAAGTTCAAGAGTCCTCTAATATGCTTCCATCTCCAAGTGTTGTTAATACTCAATCTGAGAATATTGGCAGTTCAGCAACTCAGGTATGCATGTTTTAACTACTTGCTTTGTTGTTTATGTAGAACGGGTTGGATATCAGACTCAACTAGTAAAAACATGGCAATCGTTATTTTTATTTGGGTGTCAGAAATTATTGCAGAGAAAATCTTATCTATCTCCTTCCCATCATCCTCCCCACTCACCACTATATTGAAAGAAGATAACGTAGGATGTTAAAGCTAGTTTATTAGTGCAGAGCCATTGAACTAGCTGTAAATAGACCCTTAATTGCCATTTCTTTAAAGCAAAGACCCTTCTGACCTATAGAAGCAAAACAAAGCAGTGCTTGCATTTTATTTACTTGCCGAGAAATATCCTGACACATAAGAATTCAAGGTAAAATTAGAATTTGTTTGTATATTTTATTTTATTTTATTTTTTTAAAAATATATTTTATTGATTTTTTACAGAGAGGAAGGGAGAGAGATAGATAGTTAGAAACATCGATGGGAGAGAAACATCGATCAGCTGCCTCCTGCACATCTCCCACTGGGGATGTGCCCGCAACCCAGGTACATGCCCTTGACCGGAATCGAACCTGGGACCTTTCAGTCCGCAGGCCGACGCTCTATCCACTGAGCCAAACCGGTTTCGGCTTGTATATTTTATTTTTATGCATTCCGAAGCTGTGCATGTGGGAAGTACTGGGATGGAAATATTTGTGAACCTGTGTCAAAGACTTCAGAAGAATATTGGGGTGACTTAAGATCTCAATAAAGGCTGGTGATCTCTAATGGGTAGCATGAAACTTGAAGGAGTACTTTTGTAAAAAAAAACAAAAACCTTTAAAATTTTTTAAATTTTTTATGTTGTTTGCCAGAATTATTTTCTGAGACCAAGATTTTCTGTCTTTATTATTATTGCCAAATTACTTTGGAGTACAGTGCTGTCATTACCAGCAGCACTGCAGTGCCAGTTTAATCACGTTCTTGCCAGCATTAGGTAAATAACTCTTCAAATAAAATTTTTTCTTACTTAATATAATGGTAGAGGTGTGGGCATGTCATTTCATTTGTTTATTTTCATTTCTTCAGTTATTAGTGACTTGTTTTTTTTCAAAGTATTTACCAGATATTTTATTTTTTCCTTTTTTATCTTGCTAATTTATAGCTTTCAGGATCTTAGTATTGGTTTTTCTTTTTTTTTACCAATTTGTGTGAGATTTTTATGTGTGTAAAAAAGCCATGTACCTTCTAGCTCAGGGGTCCTCAAACTATGGCCCATGGGCCACATGCAAGTACAAATATTGTATTTGTTCCCGTTTTGCTTTTTTTACTTCAAATAAGATATGTGCAGTGTGCATAGGAATTTGTTCATAGTTTTTTTTTAAACTGTAGTCCGGCCCTCTGACGGTCTGAGGGACAGTGAACTGGCCCCCTGTTTAAAAAGTTTGAGGACCCCTGTTCTAGCTCTTTGCTGCAAGTAGTTTTTTCAAGTTTACTTTTTAAAAATTTTTGAGTTTTTTTTTATATACATAAGTTTTGAATGTTTAGTCAAATCTATTTTTTCTTTGCAATTTCTTAAATTGCTTTTATGATTAGGGAGTTGTTTTTTTTAATAATAGATTTTTATTGATTTCAGAGAAGAAGGGAGAGGTAAAGAGAGATAGAAACATCAATGATGAGAGAGAATCATTGATTAGCTGCCTCCTGCATGCCCCCTCCTGGGGATCGAGCCTGCAACCCAGGCATGTGCCTTGACCGGAATCGAACCTGGGACCCTTCAGTCTGCAGGCTGACGCTCTATCCACTGAGCCAAACCAGCCAGGGCTGATGAGGAAGTTTTTATCCAGAGATATAAAATTTTCAGTTTTAAAATTAATTCTATTCATGGTTATTGACTTTGGTATGTAGTATGAGGTATATTTGGTATATAATGAGAGGCAAGAATCTAAACTAAATGTTATTTTCAAATTTCTATGTTATTATTATTTTGAATAAGTAATATTTTCCACATCTTAAAATTCCTTATCTGTGAAAAAGACTTTACAGTAAAATGTTTCCCATATCTGTCCTTTAGCTTCCTAGTTCCCCTTTTCCACAAATATATAGTGTTATCAGTTTTGGTTTACTTCTCCAGAGATACTTTATGTATACACAAATATGAACATTTTTCTTCTTTTTTATATAAATAATAGTATACTATTCTCTTCCATACTGCTTTCTCTTCCTTATGGTACATCTTGGAGATGTTTGCAAAACAGTAAAATGCTTCCTCTTTCTCTCGCTTTCTTCTTAAAAAATTTAAATTATACTTTATTTGGAGATCACTGTAGATTCACACCAGTTGTAAAAACGAATATAGAGAGATCCCAGATAAAAGATACCCTTTATCGAGTTTTCCCCAATGGTAGCATCTTGTAAACCTATGGTACAGTATCACAATCAGGATACTGGCAGTGCTACAGTCAAGATACTGAACAGTTCTGTCATCACAGGGAACCTTTATGGTGCCCTTTTATAGACATACCCACCCCCACCCCAGTCTCTCCTTGACTTCTGGAAACCAGTTCTCCATTAAATTTATTCCAAAAAAGTGATGTGCTAGTAAATTGCATCGTGTTACTGGTATATACAGTTGTGTAAATGGATTCATACATTTGGAATTGGCTTTCTTTCGTTAAAATGAAAAAATATGGAACACTTCACAATGGTTCCATATTGGCAGTTCAGCAACTCAGGTGTATGTATGTGATAGATAAGATTTGCACTGCAATAATTTCTGACATCCAAATAAAAATGGAACCATTTGATGCACAAACCATTTAAATGACAGATGCTCTGTCTACTGAGTCAAACCGGTTAGGGCCATGGTCGGCAAACCGCAGCTCGTGAGCTACATGTGGCTCTTTGGCCCCTTGAGTGTGGTTCTTCCACAAAATACCGACTTCTGCGCATGGGCCACGAAGTTTCAATCGCACTGTACGTGTGTGACGGCACGTGGTATTTTGTAGAAGAGCCACACTCAAGGGGCCAAAGAGCCGCATGTGGCTCACGAGCCGCGGTTTGCCGACCACTGGGTTAGGGCTACAGTAGATTTTTTTAAAAAAATATATTTTATTGATTTTTTACAGAGAGGAAGGGAGAGGAATAGAGAGCCAGAAACATTGATGAGAGAGAAACATTGATCAGCTGCCTCCTGTACACCCCCTACTGGGGATGTGCCCACAACCAAGGTACATGCCCTTGACCGGAATTGAACCTAGGACCCTTCAGTCCACAGGCCAACGCTCTATCCACTGAGCCAAACCGGTTTCGGCTACAGTAGATTTTTAATAAATTTTTTTACATTTAAATCTTTTGATCCATGTAGAATTTCTTTTGGTGAAGTATATGCCTGGCTTTTTTTCTGAGATGATTATATAGTTGTCATCATTTATTGAATAATCCAACTTTTCTTATTTTCCTTTTAGAAACATCACTTTTATCAGATACTAAATTTCCATCTATATGTGTTGGGGGTATTTCTAGTCTCCTATTTAATTGATAATTATGTCTGTGTCTGTGCCAATACTATCCTGTCTTAATTTTTGATAGATTTATAACTGCTAATTTTTGATAGAATTGCTTTAATTTGTGATGATTCCTTTGGGTACGGTTTTGTTTCATGTCTATTTTTATATTGGTTATTAAGATATTATCATTGTAGTGCTCACTTCAGCACCACATATACTAAAATTTTAACAATACAGAGAAGATTAGCATGGCCCCTGTGCAAAGATGACATGCAAATTTGTGAAGTGTTCCATATTTTTTTTAAAAAACATAGCCATATCAATTGATGCAGAAAAAGCATTTGTCAAAATCCAACACCCTTTCTTGATAAAAACCCTCAGCAAAGTGGGAATAGAGGGATCATACCTCAAGATAATAAAAGCCTTATATGACAAACCTACAGCCAACAGCGTACTCAATGGGCAAAAACTAAAACCATTTCCCCTAAGAACAGGAATAAGACAGGGATGCCCACTTTCACCACTCCTGTTCAACACAGTAGTGGAAGTGCTAGCCATAGCAATTAGACAAGAAGAAGAAATAAAAGGTATCTAGATTGGAAAAGAAGAAGGAAAACTGTCATTATTTGCAGATGACATGATACTGTACATAGAAAACCCTAAAGACTCCATCAAAAAATTATTAGTCTTAATAAATGAATTTGGCAATGTAGAGGATACAAAATTAACACCCAGATATCTATGGCCTTTTTATACACCAGTAGTGAACTTACAGAAGTGGAGATTTAAAAAAATCCCATTTACCATTGCACCAAAAAAATTAAGATACCTAGGAATAAACTTAATTAAGGATGTAAAAGACCTGTACTAAGAAACCTACAGACACTGAAAAAAGAGAAAAGGAAGACATAAACAGATTGAAGAACGTACTATATTCATGGATTGGTAGAATCAACATTATTAAAATGTCCATACTACCCAAAGCAATCTATAGATTTAATGCACTCCCCACTAAAATACCAATGGCATATTTCAGAGACCTAAAACGAACTCTCTAATAATTCATCTGGAATAAAAAAAGACCCCGAATAGCTGCAGCAAGCCTGAGAAAGAAGAACAAAGTAGGAGGGATCTTAATACCAGATATCAAGCTATATTACAAAACCACTGTTCTCAAAACTGTCTGGTACTGGCATAAGATCAGACATATAGACCAATGGAATAGACTAGAGAACCCAGAAATCAACCCAAACCACTATGCTCAATTATTATTTGACAAAGGAGGCAAGATCATACAATGGAGTCAAGACAGTCTCTTCAATAAATGATGTTGGGAAATATTGGACAGATACATGCAAAAAAAAAAAAAAAAAAAAAAAGAAGACCTGCAACTTACACCATACACAAAAATAAACTCAAAATGGATAAAGGACTTAAACGTAAGAAGGGAAACCATAAAAATCTTAGAGGAATCCACAGGCAGCAAAATATCAGACATATGCTGAAGAAATACCTTCACTGATATAGCTCCTAGGGCAGTGATGGTGAACCTTTTGAGCTCGGCGTGTCAGCATTTTGAAAAACCCTAACTTAACTCTGATGCCGTGTCACATAGAAATTTTTTGATATTTGCAGCCATAGTAAAACAAAGACATAGTTTTGATATTTATTTTATATATTTAAATGCCATTTAACAAAGAAAAATCAACCAAAAAAATTAGCGTGTCACCTTTGACACATGTGTCATAGGTTCGCCATCACTGTCCTAGGGCAATGGAAACTAAAGAGAAAATAAACAAATTGGACTACATCAAAATAAAAAGCTTCTGCACAGCAAAAGAAACCATCAACAAAACAAGAAAGCCCACTGCATGAGAGAACATATTTGTCAATGTTATCTCCGGTAAGGGCTTAATCTCCAACATTTACAGGGAACTCATACAACTTAACAAAAGGAAGATAAACAATCCAATCAAAAATGGGCAAGGGCCGAAGCCGGTTTGGCTCGGTGGATAGAGCGTCGGCCTGCGGACTGAGGGGTCCTGGGTTCGATTCCGGTCAGGGGCATGTGCCTGGGTTGCGCGCATATCCCCGGTGGGAGATGTGCAGGAGGCGGCTGATCGATGTTTCTCTCTCGTCGATGTTTCTAACTCTCTGTCTCTCTCCCTTCCTCTCTGTGAAAAATCAATAAAATATATTTTTTAAAATAAAAAAAAAAAAAAAGACAAAAATGGGCAAGGGACCTAAATAGATACTTTTCAAAAGAGGACTTTCAGAAAACCAAGAGACATATGAAAACATGCCCAAAGTCACTAATCATCCAAGAGATGCAGATCAAAATGACAATGAGGTACCATCTCACACCTGTCAGAATGGCTATCATCAACAAATCAACAAAGGACAAGTGTTGATGAGGATGTGGAGAAAAAGGAACCGTCCTTCACTGCTGGTGGGAATGCAGACTGGTGCAGCCATTGTGGAGAACAGTGTGGAGTTGCCTCAAAAACTAAAAATGGAACTCCCATTTGACCCAGTGATCCCACTTCTAGGAATATATCCCAAGAAACCAGAAACACCAATCAGACAGGATATATGCATCCCTATGTTCATAGCAGCACAATTTACCATAGCGAAGATCTGGAAACAGCCTAAGTGCCCATCAGCAGATGAGTGGATTAGAAAACTGTGGTACATCTACACAATAGAGTACTATGCTGCTGTAGAAAGGAATGAACCACCATTTGCAATGATGGACCTGGAGAGCATTATGCTAAGTGAAATAAACCAGTCAGAAAAAGATAAATATCACATGATCTCACTCATTTGTGGAATATAATGAACAACATAAACTGATGAACAAAAACAGAACCAGAGACAGAGAAGCTCGATCAGACCATCAAACCTCAGAGGGAAGGTAGGGGAGGGCGGGTGTAAGGGGGAGAGATCAACCAAAGGACTTGTATGCATGCATATAAGCCTAACCAATGGACACAGACATAGGGGGTGAGGGCATGAGCGGGGGTGGGGGGGTGGGGTTGTGTGTGTCATGGGGGGATAAGAACACATGTAAATCCTTAATAAAGAAAAAAATAAGATACTGTTATTGTAGATTTAATGTTATGTTTTTCTATTGTTAAAATTTTTTTTCATGGAAATTAGCTTGATGTAAAGGATCATGGATACACTACAATTAACCTAATCATGTCACGCTATTTTATTATAATTAATGCTGTCTTATTCACAAAACTCTTACTGTGTTTAGGATTATTTTCTTAATGTAGTTGCATAGAAATGAAATTATTAGATCAATGAGCATATGTTTATGTTAGATTGCTTTTCAAACATATCAATTTAGATTGCCATTGCAATATAAAAATGTTATATTGCATACTTATTTTTATTATCTTTTTAGGTTTCTTGTGATCGTTCCTTACCAAAAGAAGAATGTAAAAGTGTCCAAAACCAGGTACTTGAAGAGGAGCCAACCACAGTCTCTGAATATTTCTTTAGTGATATTTTTATTGAAGTGGATAAAACAGAATGAAAGTTGTTTTTTTTTAAGTCTAGGATTTCCAGACTTAAAAAAGCATCATGTTTGTTTTTCTTTATGCTGATTTTGAGTATTTAATGAGCTTGATTTGAAGTTTTCATAATCAGTGGGAAACATTGCTAAAATTCCTTCTATTCTGACTGATTCAGCAATTTGGAATTACCAAGCAATTAAGACTGCTTTTTCAGACAGAACTAGTACCTCTTGTTTACATTTTGACTCTTCCTGTACTGAAAACACATGGACATTTTGGAATGTTGTTCGCCGATAAACGTCTGTATAAATCTCAGTGCTGATGTATTTGGAGGTGGGTTATATTTAACACTTAGCAAACTACTTTTGTGAAGGTTCTTTCTGTTTGGATTTTTCTTTGGGTGATTAGGCCTTTTCAGTTGCCTCTAAGTATATGACAGTCAATTGTTAAAAACTTTTCTATTATCAGCTATTTGACTGACTGAAAAATATGTATTTTTCTAATTCATGTTAACATTAGTCCTAATTGAAAAACTAGTATTTAAACTTATTATTTATAAAGATGAAACATCAAAAAGCTTATTTATTTTTAAAAATTTTATTTAAAAGGATATTCAGTTTTAATTATTTTCACCCTTCAGAATATGGGTAAAGAAGGCATTAACAATTTGTCTCCTTTCCCTCTTTAATTTTAAAGATATTTAAAGTGATATAACAAAGTATTTGGATAGTGTATATGTTTTGAATACATTTTTTCTCATAGTTTTAGTATATTGACTTTGTACTGTGAATGTTTTGTTTTTCTTATTTCTTGGATAATCTCAGGATTTGTATGGAAAAGAAAATACCTTACCTTCATTTATGAGGCAAATTTCCATACAAAAGTCAATCTTTACACACACACACACACACACACACACACACACACACACACACTCACATACACACATTCCTTTTTAAAGAAAAATAATTTAATAGTTTTCCCCCCATTAAATTCTGCTTAAGGAATATTTAGGCCTTTAAGTACAGAACATAATTGTGATATTAAAAACAGAAAATAAGACTATTAAGTCAGTAATTATCAATATGAATTTGAGTTTTCAATTTTGTGATTTACATATGTAATTCTATTCACCCAAGTAAATCTTCAGTGTAGTTCAATTAAGCTTCTCAAAAAGCAGATTTACCCTGAGTTGATAAAAAATTAGGAGTCAGAAACATGTTTTTACAAAATAGTTTTGAGTTTGTTTGAGCCAGATGGCCTCTGTGGCAACTACTCAACTCTGCCATTTCAGTTGAAAATAGCCACAGACCATACGTAAATGATGGACATGGCTGGATTGCGATTTTAGTTTGACCCTCTGTGTGAGACAGTAATTTTCTTACCTTAAGGTGCTGATGTCTTTAGCTATGAGATATTTTTGTCATTGAAGTTATAAGTTGTGCCTAACTAAAGTATTGATTGCGTTATGGGATGATCAGTATTTCATGGGAAGATACTTTAATGTCTAGATAATTGTGTTTGTATATTGAAAAAAATGGAGGACAGTTTTCAAGTTCATTAGTAAAATAGGATATGGCTCAGGAGGAAGTACAACAGTAATCCTAATTAATTAAAACAATTGATATTAGAGCATTTCTTCATTTTATTATAGTGAAATTTATAGTTTAACTTTTTTTCATAAAGGAGGATCTATAAATATGAGTGGAAATTCTCTGTAGGTATGCATTTATTTATTTCATGTGATCACAAGAATCATGGTAATAAATCACATTG